AGAGATAAATTACCGTCCAGTAAATCAAAATGCAACCCTACGCGAGTTGCTGCTCGTCGAGGGAGCGCTTCACACATACGGCAAGGTGTAACGATCAAACTTATTTACAGTGCAGCTCGGTCGACAAGACCAAGCAAAAATTAAAACGATATAGACTAGCAAAGGCACATTTGGCAGATGAGATGTCAGAGATTAAAAACTTGGATACTGTCTACAATCCGGTCTTGCCTATCTCTCCTAGCAAATCACATCCAACATTCCGCTTACACCATATGGTTAATAGATAGTGCCCGCCTGCACACTAGGCCGATGAATGCTGTTTTGTCATCTTGTCTGGGAATGATGGTCGCCGGTCGTTCGGTCCTTCTGAACATAGTTACCGCACTGCAGGTACTGCCATCGATGAGGCTCCACGTTTTCGGCGATAGAAACGATTGATTCTGAAGTAAGAACTCTTTTTTATTCTCGTTCTTCCAATGAACTAATCTTCACTGTTTGTCGACTCTAGTTACAGAGTGAATTCACGCCTTCCTAAAACAGGAAGCGCGATAAATGCTTTAAACACGGACTTGCTCAGTTTCTCACGCAGCCTGAGGTCATGTCTGAGACATGCTCTTTCTTTTCACGACCGATTTCGTAATCATAACCACTCAGCATGCAGTGATACCAGGACGGCGACTCGAGCGTAACACATTTGGGATGACGGACGAAACACCTACTCGTAAGCCCAAGTCGCCGGGGGCAACACATGTCATCACAGTTAAGGAGTTGTTGTAGCACTAAGTACCTGAATGGATTGCAATTCGGTAGATTAGTGACAGAGATTTCGTAGGACATCCCAAAAACCTCGGGTTCGAGTACCTGCCATCTCTACCTGAAAAGATTAAATAAGTTTAAGAGCAGTCTGGAGTTAAGTATTTTTTGACGCCCAAGACCCAATAGCAAACCGCTTCATCAGTTGCAGTCCAAGTGATTGATTGACCAAGATTCGCTTCAATGCGAATTGCGGAATACATTGAGATTGTGTGTCGCAATCGTACTAGGGCAGATCGATACTTTCACGTCGGAACCAGCTTCCCACACTAAATAAAATCGAGTGATCAGATTTCAAACTAGCGGATTGCATACTAAGTTGATTGTGAGCGAAACTCGAGCTAAATGAACTGTGTTTTTAGCAGTGCACTGGTGAGCAGGAATTCTACCACCTGATTATCCGGTTGGATTGGGAACTTATGCGAAGGACCTGATTGTAATAACATGAACCACACGCGGTAAGTAGATCGAACCAAATCTATTTACACAGAGTAAAAAATATCATTGTGTGTCTGATATGCGCCATAACGGCGCTTTGCTATCACGACCACCATCAGCCGCGCGCGGGCCGAGTTTACCGCGAGGACGGTCGCCGCTACGCGGATTTGAACCGGTGGGCTTATGATTGCAAACCGGACGAGCAGACCACTCCATGCGTCCGACAACAATGGAATAAAATCCATCTGCGCCGGTCGCTTCCGTACTCGACGTTGCTCCTCCGCGTGCCACAGTGCCTTTTCCTGCACCTGGGCACTTGCCTCTTAATCAGCTCACATCATTCGCGCCGATCAACTGCCTCTGATTCCCAGCACCTGAAACCGATATTAATTCGTGATAAACGCCCCTTGATCAAGTCCTAGTAACGTAACGTTCGTATGCCCGCAAATCACTTGCCCTGCACGAAGCTGGCCGTACAACTGTTGTTTGGATATTCTCACTGAAGCCACACAACTGATACGCCCAACAATCGCAGGTGCCGCAGCAGAAGTATGCAGTCCACTGGATACATGCCACTGCGCCGTAACACTTCCGTGTCGGTAACTCTGTCGCACCAACCGATGCACAGAATCCGTCGCAGATACAGTTGATGGAATCGCTCCAGATGTATGACGTTCTTCCGATACATCGCCTACGTTTCACTGCGGTGCGGAGAAATGGACAGCAACATAGACTTGTATACCATCACCTTCGTTCCAACGGAAAGCCGGTGGCAGTTCCATACACGCTCTTCCAAGTTTCCAAACACAGCAGCCGCTTTCGATACGCAGACACGTAGCTCGCTCAGCATCTGAAGAACGGTTGTACGTACGCTACCCACGTAGCAAAATCTCGGAGTGTTTTCCAAGACATCACCGATATCGATTGCCAGCAAAAGTACAGATCAAATTTCTAATGATGGTTAAAAACACCAGTCTTGCTTATGTTGATGGTGAGCTCCAAGTTGGCCGCTGTCGAAGCGAGATCCTAAGACAAGTGCTGCAACTCATCCGCACTGTGTGCAAACCACGCAGAGTCGTCGCAAACAGCTAGCGGTTCACCGTATCAAATGCTTTGGTGAAATGGATAAACAGCGAGTACAGCGGTTAGTGTAGTTCTCTGCAATTCTCCTGCAATTGACGAGCCGCAAACACCATATCTATGGTGCTGTGGCGAGAACGTAATCCGCATTCCTCTTCCGTCACGTCCGTTTAACGATCTGAGTGACTAGGTGGTTGAGCAGGATTCGAACAATCCCCTTGCCCAAACAACTCCGCAAGTTGATGCCACGATAATTCGTGCAACATTGCTTGCTTTCTTTGCCCTTGTACAGTGGTAGCACAAGGGCAGCCTTGAGCTCAGGAGGCATTTCCTCTTCAAACCACACGCATCGCACCAAGTGGAGTAGCTCATCTAACCAAGCGGGTCCGCTGTGTTTCAATAATTCAGGCGGAATCCAGTCGGAATCTGTTCACTTGCCGTTTCGCAGCTGAGTAAGGGATTATCCAATAACCGTGTGTCGGCAAGACACATCTTAATCTCCAGTGGTTGCAGTCTGTGCAACGGTTCTTCCAGAGAAAATCAAAGTGATTTCGCCAGATCTGCGTTATGCATGGTCTGTGCACAGGCATCGCCTGAAAAAGGAAAAAGCAGTGGCCGCAATGTTGGTTCATGCACCACCTTAAAGAAATTAAAGAATTCCCTATGCTGTCTGCATTCTGCGTATCATTCCATCTGCTTCGCCTTCTCCGTCAACCATGCATTCTTGATGCGACAGACGCCACGAGCCAATCGAGGTCGAAGTTTGCGAAAATGAATCTCCTTCTCTGCATGCAAGTGTGCAGCGGAGGCTGCATTTTTCTCTGACACCAATGCGCCAATGGTCACAATGGCGTCATCAAACCAATTGGGCCGCTTAAGGTTTGCGCGCCCGACCGTTACTTCTTCAACAGCAGTCACCATTCCAATGATGTGGTGTCACAAGTAGCCCAATAAGACTGTGAATTCGATATCAAGGAAGCGGGTGGCCATCGTCTTCTTCAGTTCCATCCTCTTCACAGCAGTACTTAGGGAAAGAATGTTAAGTTTGCGCCAGGAGCTCAATATACATATATATATATATATATATATATATATATATATATATATAAACGGGAAAATATACGTACGATATGGTCCACACCAAGTTATGATCGATGTCACACTCAGCTCCACGCAGTACAAGTGTCATGCGCACTTCACGCGGGCGTACGATCATAGTCGAGAAGGTGAGCGTGACTACTCCGTGGATGCGTCCGAGTAGCCATATCACGCGCACCCGTTGCAAACTGTGTGTTCGTGGTCGTAAGGCCGCGAATGGCGCACAGCGAGAGCAGCAGGTCACTGTACCCATTGGCGACGCAATATCATATGGACCGATTACGTCTGTCCACACCGAAGCATCACCAAAACGCGCGCGTTGAAAGCACCCAGTAATAATAGTCGCTCGCTCTTCGGCACAGACCGTATCCAGGAGGATGAGTGCAAAACCGACCCTTCGTGTCATTAGGATAACACATAGTGGGACCATAGTGCTAAAAAGTAGAAAAGATGCCTTTTCCAAGTTGCAAACGGAAAGGCATTAGTCGTTGGCTGATGCCAGTCGGCTCTACCACAAGCTGGCCAATTAGGTGCTCGGATGGTGCAAATGCGACATTATGTTCACGTGGTGCTGAGGCGGTAGAACGTGTAGCGAGCACCAGCCTCATGCAGCTTGTCTTGGTCAGACAGCCCAGTCTTGCTGAGTGCGGCAATATCGATCCCATAGCGCGCGAGTTCCACCGCGACCAGTGCAGTGCGTCGGTCAGGACGGTCACTCGTATTCCGGTCGAGCAGTATGCGCACGTTCTAGGACCCAAAGTTTGGTGCCTTTCGCTGAGACATACGATTGCGTTGGCGAGCAATCGTAAGCGTGGTGACGACCTGGGTTGGAGGAATCAATGAGTTAGGCGAAACGAGGACCGGTAGAGTATGTGCAGGGGAAGAAGAAAGAAGGGAGACACCAGCAGTGGCAAGTTTTCGGTTATCCACAACCGGTGTATGCAGCAGATAAGGCGACCCTTTTCCTAACACCACAGCGCAACGGACGATGCAGTATGAAATTATTAGTATTGGCGTAATTCATATTTGGGGGGTTGGACTAGGATACTGCCAGGGCGTCCACACCATACGGCTCCTCAGCCAAAGCCCTCAATAAAGTATACACCCAGAGGGCAGCGGGCCGGGCGCCGAGTCAATGAAGCGACTCAGGCGGAATTTCGTGTCCTGTTCTTAGCTAGAAGAAGGATGCAACCCAACTCCCACTCAGCGATCGCCACGAGGCCTCTAGGACATGAGCCCACAACACAAAATTAGCGGCAGCAGGTCAACGATCTGTCCAGATCTCGCCACCACAGGCGTCAGCGCACTATGGGCTCCGCCGCCGATTTCCACCATAGGTCTATATGAAAAGACAGCACCAGCTTGTTTTATTGCTCTATGAGGTACAAAAGTGGATGTATTCGTTTAACGAGCGCAAGGTCGGTTGTTTTATTAGTTATCTTTAGAAAGTAAGGGCAGAAGGGAAAACGAGAAATACCATGGACAATATTTTGTCTCTGACAAGGGAGAAAGTGCAGAAACAGCGGAAGTAACGAGCGGTAAGACAAGCAGAATGGGGACACTGTAGTTACCTGGTCCTATGAGTTCCAACGCAGCCGACACGAAGGCATCAAAATGTGAGGTCAAATAAGCGCACCTAAAAGTGAAGAAAACAATGCGGAATAATTTCGCAACGGTTTCAGAGGAGTTAGTAGAGTGGAGAACCCAAAACAAACCACCAGTACGACTGTTTCGAGAGAAAGACAGTGGAAGAAGAACGTTCGTTCTATCGAAAGATAGCATTAACTTTCGGTTCATACAGATGCCAAACATGACAAAAGTGGCCTTAATCAGTCAACAAATAATCTTTATAATGTAGGAACATCATGTGTGGAGGACAAAGTGGTTCAATAAATAGTCAAGCTTCGAATTGCGGGTGCTGCCTCGTGGAGTGTTGAGAAAAGTAAAGATAGACAAAAACACAAGACACGTCGGTTGCTTTACTTACCCTAGCAAATACTGTGAAATGTAAGTGTGGATGGACCACCATTTTTCCGCTCGATATTCGTTAACCACACTGGAATAACAGCTGTAGTAAAGTCGGGAAACAAAGATCAACACATAAGCGACGATAGGAAGTGGTGATGAGGAGAACTAAGCAAGCCAATAAGACAGGCTCAGACGGCATTCCGGTTCTGTGCAACATTTGTTTGTGTGCGCGCTCAAGCGCGGATCTTGGCTTCTGGGGTAAAGATCTCCAGAACAAAATGCTGTGCATGTGGACTATCATTCCCTACTTAAGTTTGATTGCTTTGAGAATACACTAGGCCATGTACAGCAATGAACAGCGTGCAATGCTGTGTAAGATAGATCCCCCGTTACGAAAACCGTTCGGAGCCAACACGTATACCATTATTAGTGTGAATTCTAGAGGTGAAGGAGAGTGACGAATAGCTTAAATAAAGTAAGCAACCACATAAGACGCTTCAAGTTGCCTATTCGTGCGCCGGATCACGCTTGGTGCGCGTGAGGACGCACGAACGCATGAACAAACAAAACGGGATATGCGGAAACGGTCTTGCTCCCGACTATGTGAAGTAACGCACAAACACAACCCTGGAAAGTAAACAAAGGGTTTTATGAATTGGAATTCCGAAAATCTCTCTATAATTCCAAATAAGGAAATCAGATGACACTGTGCTTTCGTAGGACTATCAAAGGAATTAAAACAGAGCCACATGAAATCGATCGATGGTCAACAGTCTTCCGATTGACACGTTACACGCTACCACCATAGGCTTAATGTCATTGTCAAGCGTTTGAACCTCTGCTCAAAAGGGAATCCATCAAGGAGCCGGCGATCATTCAACTGGACTGCAGGTATTAACGAAACAAGTAGAAGAAAGAAGGGGAGTATCAGTGGTAGACTGTTTCGCTTATTCAGCATACGGTATGCAGTGGCCAGAACAACCGTTCCCATGCTGTGTGACGGTTGATAACAGGGAAAGAAGAAACATCAACACAATGTTGGAACGCAGTACCAACGAGTCGATGCTGGGTGACAAACAACAGTTTGGTGAGACTTAAGGGTAGTACAAATGTACCCGCATACAAGCAACGACCTGCGGATTACCAGGCATATACATTAACCACTTTACAAGCGGCCAATGCAGGACGAAACTGTAAGCAAGGGAAAGGTCATAGTTGCAAGTGAGTTGGGATACCGCATAGCCTCCAAAGCTACACAAAAGAATGACTATGCTCTTCAAATAAACCCGCTGGCCCTAAAGAATAGGGTATTTTTCCGCAAGTCTTTTTAATTATGTAAAAATCAGAGGTAACACCTCCAAGCATGAATCGGATTCAATCTGGCCACTGACCATTCATTGACAAATCTAGTATGAGTAGTGCTCAGATGCACCACCCAATGTAATTAAGTAACTAGGAGCGATAAGTATATGTAGCTAGTCGAGCAAATGTCCACGAGAATCGTAGCTTAAGGTCCACTAGATTAGTAGGTGCAATCGGGTCTACCACGTTTTCTTCTTTACTTCAACCTCCTGAAACGAAGATGGTGCCTCTCTGATCGATTCTTCTGGAGTGACAGTCCAGATGGTTGACCGACTAAGAGCCGTAGGGTTGGATATAAGCCTTAACCAAAAGCCACTAAATCGATTGAGATGGTGTCACGCAATTCTGAGCTGTATGGCCTCCACATAAATGATTCGCTTTGGCACAAAACAGTCAATGAAGGTGATAATCTGGTCCAGCTGTCAAGTAATACCAACATAATCGATCTAGCGGAAGCAGAAAAACTAGGTGTTTCTAGTTGAACAAGACCATCAATGAGCTCTGACGGTTTTGTCATGTATGAAGGCTGCTTTGATTAAGTGATGATAAGAATGCTGAACGGTTATCAGCTTGGAAAGCACCAGCAGAAAGCCGAGACCACGAAGCATGGACATTAGAATTGAAGTTGGGATAGATATACGCATGTGTGTAGTGCAAATGATTAGCATTACTCTTGTGCGAAAATACAGGAAGATGCGAAAGGATGGTAGCGTACAGGCAAACGGATACCGAGCGATCGTAAGAGAACGGGCAGCCGGTCCGCCCCACTCGGAATCGTCGGTTGCGAACATACTTTGACAAGTTTGGACTGCAGTGGCTTCGATATTGTGAAATGGAAAGCAGAACGCCAACCGTCGATGTGAGAAAACAAATGATCGCAAGGAGATGTTGCTCAAACTTCACTGTAATGTATTCGCGGATCATGTTAAAGACAAATATAGTCCTTGAAATAATCAGCTTGCCATCGACCAGTCTATGATAACCGATAAGCTTTGGTAGATTATTTGTAATAAATCATGTGCGGATGATAACGATACAAAAGGTTGGAAATTATTCATATGCGATAGTGGCTAATAGATCAACCAAATGAAATGGACATACTTGAGTGCCTTCTCATAGTCTCCCTTGCGATAATACTCGGATCCCATTAACACCACTGAAAAGGAAACAAACGTTGACAATGTGAAGTTATGTACATATATTACGCCTTCACAGATGATACAAGAATAACACCCCTTGAATTGATGCCAACAGCAACAAAAATTTCTGGATTTAGAGAGATATGTGGCAAGACAAGTAAAGGGGACAAGAAAAATATAAGAATAACAAAATTCTAAACAGAAATAAACGAATGCATGTTAGGAAAAACAACGGTGTACTGCCAGTCGTGAATAACGCGCGCGCGCATGCGCGAAACGCAGGTGGGACGCGTGATGGTTAGGCCACCATCGATGGTGCAAAACACTTCGAGCACGTTAGTCGCAGCAGAGTAACCCTGAGATTTGGCAACGAAGTAGACCGCGATACGGCTGCATTGCTCTGCAAGGGTTCAACCGTTGAATTCGCATTGGTATCTGGTTGGTCGATTGTGACTCAACAAAGGACTACATCTTAATCTCAGTGTAAAAGCAACTGCAGTTGGGAACAGTGTTCGAATCGCCGACGGAAACAAAGTGCATCGCTCCACCCGAGTGGAGCAATCGGTGCTTGGTGATGGGGGACTGTTCCGCAAAAGCACAACTTTATAGCCGGCGAGCTATGGCGGGTTTCTCGTGCGTCGGTCACCTCATTACTTCTCACATCTAGGTCCAGCAGGTGAACTCGCCGAACCAGCCCGCATGAGAAGATGAGGACATCAAAAGATCGATCGAGAACGCTGATAACGTGCACGTTACCACAAGAGGCCCAAAATACTTGATAAATGATATAAAGAACATTTCCATGCTCTCTTCGCTAACGTGTCGAGCCGATAGTTTCTTCGTATTGCAAATAGCTTGAATTTGAAATTGATTCGAATACCAAGCGACCAAGAGTACCAGGCTGCGAGATCCGCTTTTCCCTCATCCGACGCGGACAGAGTAAGTGTGGCGGCCAGATGTCGATGCATGATGACGTTCGCGTATCGACGGATGGGCGAAGTGAAATAGGCGTAGAACTCCATATTGAGAACGCAGTGAACCGTGGTCTCGGAATCGGACAGCTCACCAAGAGAAAAATACTCGGCCAGGTTCATGGTCTTGGTGAGCAAGTATACGGCGAGTAACAAACCAGCCTTTTGAGGACGAAGTTGGTTGGTGGTGTTTCCTACGAAGTGGGGTACAATTGTTTCCACACTATCCGCGAGGTCAGTGTCGGCCAGTGACAATCCTGTAGCAAAAACTGCACACAGAGAGGCGAGCTGCAAAGATAAATGATAGCCAGTATCGAAGGCGCAACCGGTTTCACGGCAAATCGATGCCTGGATGGAACGCGCGGTTTCTGTATCCACATGAATGCCGATAGATTCGAGCTGAGTGGACGCTCGTTGTAGTTGTTTCAAAGATGGAACAGTGTGGCTCTGCAAGAAGACCACCACTGGAAGATAGCGGCGAGGTGTTTGGGGACTGCTTCGTTGACCGCCGGCATCTATTACTCCATTAGCCAGTTGGAAGGTCTACAAAAGTCCCGTGAGATCCCAACAGGCATTTGCTTGTCATCGCTCAGTACAAAGCATGCATTCACTTGGTCCAAACCCAGACCAACGCCGCTAAATCGCCGGCGTCGCCGCTGCATCCCAAGCTCGTGTAATCGCAGCATACTCACGCGAACGGAATGTATGCAGTGGGGTTCGAATACCTTAGGTGCACATTTGGAAGGAATGTCCATGCTTAGATTATCGATGATAAATTGAGCATTCTCGTAGTACACCTTCGCCCAAGAGCATAGTGCAGATCGGCGTAACCAAGTCTTCAGAATCTCGCCCTTGACGTTAACCTTGAAAATCACCAAAAATGTCAACTTCCATGCCATGACATAGATATGTGTTTAAAATCAACATAAGCGAATGTTCAAGTCTCCAGAGTTATGAATAGATGTTGTATGCGTACTCCGTAGGAAACACTTAAGAGATTAGTTAAAAGCGGATGGTCAGTCATTACTCTGACAGGAAGACGGTTGGTGCTTTTAATGAGAACAATGATCAAGTCCGAACCGCGTTAACTATTCCACAGAGAGCTGTGTATTCCACAATTCAGGAATCAGGTGTATCAATTACGCGCTCCAAACTTTTCGAACGTTGACCGTATGCAATGGAAAGAGATGTGCCAAGTACCTTAGTCAACGGATCATCGTGATGTTGCATAACTTCCTCACCAACGAAAGCTTACTGCAACAGTGCATCACACCGTATAATCATCCCCAGGGTAACACAGGCAATATCTGTCGTTAAGTTGAAGGTGCGAGCATACATTTGTGGCAAAGTCGCTTGTGTTGTAGGCGAAAAGCATCGACAGAGTTAAACATTCAGAGCCACCAAGATCACATCGAAAATTGTGAGTCAAATGAAGTGGGAATCTCGTACGCAAGCAACAAGCAGCGAGTGCATATTTACACAGATAGGATGGGGTTTATTTTTATCAGGCAATTGAATAAACAAAGAAACTGGCTACATGGCCCCTTATCATGTAAAGCAAACGAATGAAGGGGATGATGCTACCAACGTCCTGCTCACGGAAACGATGAACTTCAGCCGAGTGCATAGATGTGTTAAATAGTGTCGAATGTAGGAGTACAAATTTGGCAGATGGGTTAGTGACCATGCCGAAGAAAAAAGAATTGTGAGGGGCACTGTATGGTGGTAAAGATGCATGCAACGCCAGTGAATGATTGCCGAACGAGATAGGTCAGTAGGTAGACGACATGTGATGGTTGGGGCAGTAGAATGAAGAAAAATTGTCAATAAAACGATAAACAGAAAATATTTGGAACGATTAGTTCATGAAACATATGACGTAGAATAGTAGACCTTGAATAAGAGAAAGCTTCAGATTACATTTGGTTAAACTCACATGGATAGAGTTTCATGTGTTCCGCTTTATATCGAGTGTAGTGTAAATGTGCCTGTTCTAGCAAGGGTATAATGAGAGCCTGGTAAAAGTATAGAAAAGTATCAGATGGAAGCTTATAGATAAAACGAAATTCATTAGGGTGGATAAACGTCAAGTGTGAGACAACAAATAATTCCAGTACAACACTGAGACGGGCATTAGAGACGAACAGGCAGATCCGTAAGCTGTGGTCAGTGGTACCCATGGAAAGCTTTCTGCACTCACCCATAGCCAGTGCTCGGGACATACGCATGTGATCACGAGAAACAATGAACTTAATTCGTAACCAAGTGATGATCAACCGTAGCATCAACGGACACCGAACGAATATAAGCTTCGGAGCAAGTTTTAGAGTGCATCAAGCAACCAATAAGAACAAAGGAATAAGAAGGGATTTTGGGGGAAACTAAAGAGTGAGTTTAAAGCACGTATCGATATTAAGTATCCTAGATGGACCATAGCGTTGTGCAAGAAGAACTAGACCCCAGTCCACAGTACAGAAAATGAAACAAGGAATAACATAGGAACATGTACCAGGATGAGCTGAGAACCACAGGCGCACTTACAGAGTGGTCCACTAATTGTTCGGCTTTAAGGAGACTTAGAATGCCTTGCTGTTCTTTGATCAAGTTGGGTGGTTCAATACTTTGTATAGCTTGACGCCAAGGTCGCTGACCGTAAAATTCGAGGCCATCCACTTTTTCTGTAGCCGATACCGACATAGAGATGTCTGCAGCAGGAGTCACGGGGGACGGAGGACACCCATCAGCAACAGCCGGGCCATCTGCAGTGGATCGTCTTACAAATCGCAAAGGAGACTGTGCTCTGAAAAGTTGAACGGGTTTTGTTACAGCAATTCGTTTGGGTACTGCTGATTCCACAACAGGGGAATGTACTATGGAGATCGGGTCGGTATCATCGCGCAAAGTGGATGCTGAATCGAGCACATCCGCATCAAACGATGATGGTGCATGATGGGTATTTCCGTCCACACTGTAACTCAAAGGATCATAGGTCTGAGAACAGAGGACTTGAGAGAGCTGCCGGCGTGCTAACGCGTGACGAGCAGCCTCTTGATAATAAAGCCCAGGATGTTGTGTCATTAGCGCCGTTAGGCTTAGATGAATGGCTTCCTGAAAGAGATCCCCAAGGATCTCGAATCTAAAATAGAAAGTTCAAGCTATTCACTCGTCGGGGGTGGGAACCCACTGTTTGGACATCCATGCCTCATGTTCGAAAGCTAGCTGAGGCATTCCAGAAAAAGTGGAAAAGAATTCGATGTGTTTGCGGAACTGAGATATGGCATCTGATGCATTGGTTTGAAAAGCCAGACGACAAATCTGAAAATGGGAAACAATTGATTGGGTCAGGATGCGAATCATGCAAAGGATGAGAAAGAGAAATGGGCAGAAGTCGGGAACGGATGAAAGCACATTATTCCTGTTGCTATATGTGAGCATGCAGCACAGACTGACTACCATCAGACAAGCAACATCAACCCGTGTTTGGTTAGCATGGGAAACAAAACGAAGAAAATTTAACTTCGTATCACGATTGAAATGCGTCCAGTCTCTAACAATGGGCGTGTAACGGAAGTCGTCTCAGAGAAGAGCATCGCGGCCAAAGAAATATGGCGCATATATTAGTCACGCACGGCGGTTAAGTGGCACCAATTATAAATACCGTCCGATACGTCAAGTGAAACAGCTTGAAAGCGCGCAGTAACAAATGCTACTTGTTAAAATCTCACAGGCAAGAGATGAAACAAAGCACAGGCTTCGAGTTAAGAAGAAAGTGAATAATAATATGATTCACCTTGTAGTTAATAAAAGCAGCGACAGTTTTCAGTTCCAATGCGTGAATATCGAGCATTCGTTGTTCGAGCAGATGGTTATAAGCGTACTGATAATGTCTATAAGGGAATGGTATATCGTAGAAAAGAAAACGAGTAATTGAAGGGGAACAATCTCAAAAGGTTATGAAAAATAAGACCGATTTTAATCATTGGTCTTTCGATCTTGCGTGCAGCTACATTACAAGGTTAACTGAAGGAGGAACACCTTAACAGTGTGTAATAGGGAGATGGATAAAGGAGAGTTTAGGGTATACACTAGGTCATAAACAAACTAAACCTATTGTGATTCATATATGCAGGCAACATTCAGTGGAAAAAGGGAGCATCACTTGAATGCATAGCTGTACGAGTCAGACAGTGGTGGCACGACCGCATTCATACCAGTGGTACACAGTTGCGACTTGTGAGCTGTAAGGTACAAGGCCAAGCACAAACTGAGGCACACAGACTTAAAACTGAAAGACCAAGCGAATCAACGGCACCCAGATCAACGCATCGCATCCTCGAGCCTCAGTATACCCAATCTAAGGCAAATAGTAAAGTCGGCATCTGTGCAGCCGCTTGGACCAGTAAATCATAAGTGGTCTCACACTGGTAATCAACTGAACCCAACTAATCAACGTCCCGAAGAAACAGCTTCCTATCTTATCGGGGAATACTCCGCATGCAACGATAGTAAGGGTTGGATGCACATCGGAAGCTCGGGTAGAATGGGCCAAGCCATCGCAGAAAAAATGTGTCACAGGATTGCACGGAGAAACCACAGACCCTTTCGCACGGATGTCATTATCTCAATCGGTGACGAAACGTATACACTCGCATGGCTCAGCTCAAAGAGCAAATCAATAGCTAAACACTCGGTCAAAGCTACCAACGTGTTATTTCGTCCGCCTATACGCCGCGGTCAGGAAAGTAAAGTTAGCCATGGGGATGAAAATGACAGGAGAATGATTAGGGCCCTTAAACCAAATGATAGTCGCAACAGCTTCACCACAATGCATCAAGAATAGCGCAATGCTATAGAAGACAAACAATTTTGTGAGGAATGGTCAGTGCAAGCGCCCACCTAATGATTGGTTCAGATTAGTTTGCCGTGACGCACATTGCCAAAATAATAACGAGGATGATAGTGATAATAATGGTAACAATGATAATAACAAGTAGGACAGACAAACATGAATTAAAGTCGTCAGACGGAATGGTAAAGGGTTCTAAATGAGGAAGAGCGGATGCAAAAGATTCACTAACTCCGTGATCACGCCATGTTTGGCAATGTGTCTGGCCACTGATTTGTCGGATCCAATTAAGAAAAGGATAACGCGACTATAACATTCCGGTATTAACCGGGCAAAATGACCTTGTCCGACCTTTAATAGTGACGATTTGGTTGGAGTAACTCTTAAAATAACCTAAAGCAATCATCTTTGCTGCTCGAATGTTGGGAAAACGTTGGATTTTCCAAGGATGACTCTGAAACCGACAAAATGAGTTCATTGTTAGCCAACATTATTATTGTTAAACAGCGCGTACAAATGACGCCTTACACCCTGACCGGGACTGACTGGTCTCAGAATACCGTTAGAAGACCTACGAGTACCCGCGAGCTGGTTGTCGCCTGACATCATTATAACAGATGTCGTTCAAATGGTTTGTGAACTTTTCAGCTAGAGTGAGGGTTATTGCCTGATAGCCGAATTTCGTGCTCGTCCGTAATCTCAATTTTGAATCCTTTGCGAGATCTCCGTTTCTGTTCAGAATTGCGACATTGGTTATTGGGCCGTAACACCGAAGAAACCCAAGCCAATGATTAAGCATAAGATTGTGATGGCTGTACCACCACCATTCATGGATCAGTTCATATTGCTCTCGACTGTTCTTACGTGCGCGTGTGCATGTCATTGAACAGAATGACCTTAAAACACTGATTAACCCTTTGTTGCACACGATTGTACAGCGACAGGACTCCAGATTGGCTTAAGTAAATTTCCACATGCATCTGAATGGATGAGGTGAGGAGCGCCAACAGGGTCAAGACATGCCACTGGAAATCGTACGACTAAGACGGCGTAGCTTTTCTCTAATAATGTGGAAACTTTGGTTGCATATACAGTTAAGCCCACAGATGCCAGTCGTGGTAGATGAGTTAAACTGAAAACGCATACCAGTGAGAAGCAGAGGTGAGGGTCGAATCTGATGGTAAACTTCTAAAGCGCAGCAGCATAGAAAAGATAATATTGTTTGATCATCAACGAGCAACGTAAGTGACCATTCGAACAAGCCATTAGCAGTATCATTAAAAATGGCATTAGTACAGCCTACAAAGAGATTGTTAGCGGTAGTGCCTTCAATAAAGGTGCCGAGAATTCCACGACAGGAGGCATACACCATTCGGGGCTTTCAGCACTGTATCGCGTGACATCTCTTCCCAACAAAACGGCTACATCGGTACTGCTGCGGTATGAACCAAACAAGAAAATAACGAAATAAAAAGACCACAGAACAGGTAGAATAATAGCAGCATTCTAATTGTGATAGTTACCTGAAAATATGATGATGATGAGATACCTTATACTACGAGCCTTACACGGTATGAAAGGTGTGCACGAATGAAGCACTAGTCCCAGTAGGACGCAATGACAGCCCGTTTTTTTTTGGGGGGGGGTGATGGTTAACTGTGATTAACTGTGGCATCAGTTGAGAGTTTATGAGGTAGGAAAATGTGAGCAGTTGTCATGCAACGTAGAGGTAATATGCAGACAGTCACAGGACGCATATGTCAACATAAGGATCATGGGTGAAAGCAGACGCACTGCACACGCGCTCCATGTGCAACGTAGATATAAAAAAGACAGAGGTAAGGGACTAAGAGGCAAGACTAATGTACAGCCACCCCGAATACAAAAGACACGAAAAGCGTTCATACGCAACTGACTACGCACGACAACGCCCCAAGCTAATGGTGAGACCTAGAGCTAATAGAAGAAACGCAAAAAGTGAAAGATGCGTATTTTGTAGGCGTCTGTCAGTCTCACCCGAAGTTGTGAAGATTGGGTCTAATAATAATATAATAATAATGTGTCAGCTGTACGCCGTAACGGCGCTTCGCTGCCGAGCGACCAACACCGGTCGCGCGCGGGCTGAGTATATCGCGAGGACGCCCACCCCTACGCGGATTCGAACCGGTGACCTTATGGTTGCAAAGCAAACGTGCAGACCACTCGGCCACCGGCCGATAGATTGGGTCTACACAAAAACCAGATGCCCGCGAGCCTTCCGAGTGTTTCCATAAGCGCAGCTTGCAGCACATGACATTCAGTAGCATGGTCACAATAATCATCGGAGACACGACAGCGGCTAGAAAAGAAAAGGACGCAGAGTTGCATAACATTAGCTGATTAATGTCCTTTGGACAACAGTCAGAGTAATGATTGTTCCTGCTTGATGCTGAAAAGAATTGGAATCTAAAATGCGGCAGATTCGTGGCTGTTGCGTAAGTCACGGTGAGTTGGTAACGAGTATTCGCACAAGCTGATTGCACTCGCATGGAGATGGCTCAAAGAACAAATGCGAGACAGAATTGTATCCAGAGCAGGTCAGAGCAATGGAAGAAGAAGGAAAACGCTCGAGAAAGACAGGTTTCCGAATTCCACAAGTAACCGGTGAGAGGAGCAGGTTGTGTCTCAACTACTCACGCCAATCCACCGGTTGAAGTGTACATTACTGTTCCATTTCAACAAGCTACAGTCTGAAAAGATCCATAGAGGTGGGGCCAGCTTACATGTGCAATGCGCGTGTGACTGCGTGTCCTTGGGAAAGACAGCCTACATAGAAGTAAATATGAAAACTTCACGAAGAGCGCCCTGTTTTTCGGTATGTGTGGTGAATGGAAAACGCGAGATTCACTGACTTCTCGAGTATTCAGTGACCGCTACGGTGAAGACTGACAGTGCCGCTAGCAGAAGCTTCGGCATCGTGCAGGGCAGACAGGATCCTATTCCACTGAACCTCAGTGTCATAACGACGAGAGAGCAAATGTTCGGTATACAAGACGCTTGCTGCGTCTCCCGGTAGACTTCATGGAAAAACGTCAGCGAACCAAGGCATAATCAGAGTCCACGCAATTACTCCACTATGGAAGCACGCCACCTGTAACTTACGGCAACGTGATATAATTGGGTCTATCGCAGGTCAGCAATAGGTGGACGCCAAGTGACACTTCGGCGCCTACTGTGTCCAAAAGCGGTTCTACTAAGAAACAGCCGGTGATCCACACACAGCTGATACGGAAGCTTGCAGATGTCCGCAAGACAAGAGTTAAGCCCATATTTACCGACAAGTTAAGCTGCTGAAGAGATCAGACGATATATTTGGCATTCATATCACCTGCAACAACAACGATATCAGAACCATTAGCACTGCGAAGTAGCGTGTTTACTTCGTGGCAGCATATGGTCTTGGTAGTAGCAGAACTGTAGTCGGAGGGAGCATAAGTGAAAACCACAAACAAACAGCGTTTAGCAGTACTTCAAGAATACACCCTAGTTGGTATCGTCAAACAGACTGCACACAAATGGCTTTTCACGGGAATCCAAACAACCAACGATGAGGCTGGACCTTACCGTGGTGCGATGGTTTGTGTGCCTCAGGGATCCGTTGAGCTATACTGGATGGTGCTTTTGCACCTTCGGAGCCACTCATACCAGATTGGTCAATGGTTAGAGGCCAGACAAACTCAGGCTCCTGGTCCTCCAGGTTGAGGGTTAGAATGAGGGTGGCACCTCATTCCTTAAAACGGACTCCTTGTAGCCCAGTGCCAAACCCGCTGCCTTGCGGTCAGGTTTTTGAACCAAAGGCTTTGGTTGAGAACCCTAATCATTCTCCTGTCTAGACCTGGGCAACCTGACAGTATCCTGCTCACGCAATACAATGAATCTTTCCTCAAACAATTTCTTGATGCTCTGGCCACCGCAGAGGATAATCAACGGTGCCCTATCTGCTGCATCGGGCAGTGTGAATAGGGGTTTGGATGCTACTGCTCAAGCCTTCCCGTCTTCTTA